ATTTTTCAAAAGATACTCGAACTGTACTGCCTAAACATGTCCATTTGTCGTTCAATTGYGTTCTTAAATGATAACCTATGTACWTTTTTAATATCTCGCAATAACAGTAATTTGAAAATATTTATTTTTCCATTTTAGGCAGTCAAGCAGCTGAGCAGTGAAGTGCACTGCCATTAAATTATGCTAATGAATAATTGATATGCCAGTTATCCAAACAGCCAGCCAATCAACCCACAAGCAATCGACATATAAGAACCACATAACCCGCCTAAGYTGGGGATGTGTTGCGCAGAAGGCAAACATACATACATATGACTGAAATATTAGTTTTAACTAATTATTTTGTAGTAGTAATGATGATCATAGAATCATGTGTGCCTCAAGAAGTGGATGTGTTCCTATTAGAATCGTGTAAATGGATTATAATGCAAACATCTAATCATTCAACATCAAACATACATTATGAAACGCATGTACATATATACAAAAAATAAACATTTATCATTATCATTTAGCAAACACCATTAATCGTTAAGATGATTCCTATTGTGTATTTATTTGTATTATAATTTTGATATTGTCAAAATGTAAARGTTTGTTAAATGCGCCACATAAAAACATATCTCATATCACATATACATAYGTGTGTGCATGTTCAGTGGATGCATGGGCATAGATGAGCGCTGCGCGGTTATGAGTGAAAATTGCATACGCCTGTGTATGTGGTCGAAAGCTCAGTGATAGAAATCATAAGAATAACTATAGAAAAAAACAAACACCAATTTTTAAGTGCAAATACAAATTGTATATTTTTCTGAATAGTATTTAGTAATTTTAACTTTTGGTTTATTACAATTTTATACTCACGAAAACACTCATTGTCCTGGGCGGTGCACATGCTAATTTTACCGCTTTATGACATACATATTACATACATATGTATATACATATATGTATGTTATTATTATTATTTTTTTTAATTTTTAAATATGTCTACGCAGACAGCAAGCATTGTATAAAGAGAAGTGTAGGTACTAAATGCACATTAGGTATATACACAAATTAGTTAGCATTACAATAATTAGATAAAAACTAATTTCTAAATAAACTAGTGGAATAAGCAGTGAAGTAAGCAGCGGGTGTGCGTTACAACAATTTCTATAATATTTTTATATCAACTAAAAATTTACCATAAAATGCTAAAATTCTTTTGAAAAGTTTCAATTCAAAAAAAAAAATTAAAAATTATGTCACATTTATTGTATATTAACTGCCTCTTCCAACTATCTCCCTTAAATGACTTATTTTGTCTGCCGTTTATAAATTGTTGTATATATGCATACCCTTCGCTACCGTAATGAATCTGTATGTTTTACCAAATTTCTCAATGGAGCAGAATTCATGAAAAAAGACTGTTTTAGGATTTGTTATATATACATATGTTATATATATAAATTTAAAATTACTTGATTAAAAATATATTGTATTGAATTACACTTGTACGCATACTAAGTAAATACATGAATATTCTTATACATATTAAGTATTTATGTATGTATAGCATAATTTTTGGGTTTATTGAATGCTTATAAAAAATAAAAATCAAATATATTAAACAGTATTTATTTGCTTCATTTCTGGTTCCAAAATTCCTTTTTTTTTTTTTTTTTTTTTTTGTTTTTATTTGCATACGGAATTTCTTTTGGCTATCTCAAAACTGACGAGCAAATTTTTATAATCCTTAAAGAACTTCGTAATAAAAATCAGTAACTCGAAATGGGGTTTGAACCCGCATTTCCCGCATTCGCGATTTTTCTTTTGAAATAAAAAAATGTACTTTAACAGAATTTCACATACTCAATAATTTATTAAAAAAAAAAAAAAATTGGATTCCCTTGATGCCACAGGTAACCCTCAGGAGAACCCCCGAAAAAAGGGTGAAGCCGCTTGACCTTCAAAATCGCCGCATGATCGTGAATTTTGCTGAGCAACAACTTGAAAATGGTTCGGATTTTCATCGAAAAATCATCTTCAGCGATGAGGTTCATTTCAAGTTGAATGGCTTCATCAATAAGCAAAAAATCGTGATGATCAACACCGGCACGTTACTGTGAATGGRAATCGTCTCTGCTCAACGAACACTGAATATTTTTGGCCTGTATTGAATGAKATGGACTCGGACAACATGTRGTTCCAACAGGACGGCGCCACAAGTCACAAATGTTTTGTGAACGTGTCATCTCACGAAATGGCCCAGTCAATTGGCAGCCTAGGTCGTGGCATTTGCCGCCGTTAGATTATTTCCTGTGAGGCTACGTCCAGTTGACTTTTGTAGAGCTCTTATTGAAAAACTCGATATATTTTCGTAAGTTGTTGAAGTTGTAATGTGTAAAGAATTTGAGTTCAACCTTATAGTAAAATGTAGTAATGCTCATCTATCGTCGGGAAGACAAATGATCAGAAAACCGCCGAATACAAACAGCCGCTTGATGTAAAAGTGCCATACGAGTTAAAGCCAAAAAAAAAAATCTTAGACCGAATTTCCATTTTGAGAGGCTGCTGCATCGCAATATAAACGATTCATTTCTAAAGCCGATAATTATTGGTGATGAAAAGTACGTCACTAACAACAACATCAAGAAAAAACGTTAAAAATAGTCGGACGGATCTCGGTAAGTGATAGAGTTGAGCTGTTCTTATGTATCTACATTTGGACCTAGCAACAAGTGATTACTACCGTAGTTCAACTAAAAATTCAAATTCAATAACGAATTTTATTTGTTTATGTGTACAGTTAATAAAGGTCATTTAACAATTTTTCTATTTTTTATCACCTTTGYTATCGCATTTGCTTTTACTACCTGCTTTTCCTTTCACAAACTTCATTAGTGCATCGCTGGTGAAGCTCTTCGGTCGTTCGATGGGTATTTGTAAGGCCCGATGCCAGGTTATGGATGATAAGACACCAATTGCGCGTGAAATCCCAAACAGCACCGTATAGTATTCCATTTCCTTCAAGCCATAGTAGCGCAACAAAACACCGGAATGGGCATCCACATTTGCCCAGGGATTTTTTATTTTCTGCATTGATTGCAGAATTGGTGGGACCACTTTGTAAATTGTTTTCACCAATAAATAGGTTTCGTATTTCGGCAAATGCCTTTCGCCGAATGCTTGCAGCGCCATATAGCGTGGATCAGTCTTACGCAAAACCGCATGTCCGTAACCGGGTATCACATGGCCCGATTTCAAAGTTTTATGTACATATTCTTTGACTTTGTCCTCCGGCGGATTTTTACTACCCAATTCTTTTTGCATTTTTCCAATCCAATCTAATACTTCTTGATTGGCCAAACCATGTAGGGGACCGGCTAAACCACTTAGACCAGCTCCATAAGCAAGGAACGGATCACTTAATGCCGACGCCACTAAGTGGGTGGTATGAGATGAAACATTGCCCGAATCGTGATCGCTATGTAAGAACAGATACAGGCGTAAAAGTTCGAAAAAGAATGGATCGTCGAAGCCTAGCATGCGGCCGTAGTTGGCCGACCAATCCAGCTTCTTATCGATCTCATCGCAACCCTTGCCGTCACGATAGATGTTTCGATAAATTCGCGCCGCTATATTTGGCAATTTRGCCAGTAGGGTTATGCCGTCTTCCAGCGAATACTTCCAGAATTCGGCTCGCTTTACGCCGGAATGGTAGGCTTTTAAGAATTTACTATCTTTGTTGAGCGATGTTACGGCCATTGAAAATTGTGACATTGGATGCAGATCTTTTGGCAAATTATCCAACAATTTTTTAACATAATCCGGCAGTGCGGCCTTTGCATTCCATTCGTCGGTCACCATTTTTGTCTGTTCTGCAGTGGGTATATTACCCGTCAGTAATAACCAAAATATGCCCTCGGGTAAGGGTTCGTCACCACACTCAGCTTTCGGCATTTGTTTTTGACATTCTGGTATGCTAAAACCTCGGAAACGTATTCCTTCATTGGGATCCAGTAGCGAAGTTTCGCAAAGTAATGCTGGTATACCACGCATACCACCGTAAATTTGTGATATCTTTACTTCGCCTAATTTGGTGTTACCATGCTCTTTGACAAACTTCTTGAGTCGTTCTTGTTCGGATTTGATTTTCTCGGCGAGGACTGAACGAAGATCTGCTTTACCGCCTTTGCCACCCTTCGTATCGCATTTACTGCTGTTCCAACGTATATATCTTTTGCTCACATTTGGTGCCAAGGACTTGACATACTGATGCAACGAACGTCCAAGGAAATTCATTGCCTTTAAATGTTTGTATTTTTTCCAAAAGTTTTGTTTCTTTTAAGAAATAAAAACGAATAAATAAATTTATAATTTTTATTATTATTATTTTTTTTTTTGAAAGAAAGAATAACATAAAATACAAAGTATGTGTATATTAATTTACCTATACACATCT